ACCCACCTCCTACTCTTACCATCCCTCAAAGGACAATCCAGTTACAAGCCGAGGCTCTGACCTCAGCTTCACATGTCCGACCTTGTTCTTCCTACATAGGAATCTCCCCTACACAAGCAAAATTACATTCACTCTTAAAGCCCCTATCGACTGGACCTTCCAGGCGGCCAGGTGCAATCCCCATCCCATCCCACCCGTTCTACTTAACCAGCCCCTTCCCCTCTCACCGTGGGGCAGTAAATATAAAACATTTAACCCTCCTACAGCACCTACTACGTGCCTGCAGCATTCTGAGAAATTCACAGCATTAATGTCTTTTATCCTTTTAACTGTATGAAGTAAATAATACCAGCCCCATTTCCTAGATCAGAAGACTAAGCACAGAAAGGTTAAGTGATACGCCTCAGATCACAGAGCTAGTAAGGAGGAGCGTTGATATTCATACCTAGATAGTCTGGCTTCATATTTTATAGGCATTTATAAGTGGTTATTTTCCTAACCATTATTTCACACTCGAAGGTTAAGCATCATTTTCAAACTTTGTTTTGTGCGGAGTGTCTGGCCCAGGTCAACTTTATTGCGTATGCCAGTGTCTGAGAGTGGACTCAGATGCCACAGTTGGCTGGTATTCCTGGCTCTGCCACACCCCAAAGCCAAGCTGCATCAGTAGGAGCACCCTGTAAAGTGCAGGCCTCCATAGGCACCCCCCTCAGTTCCATCCCCTTCTCTGTACACACAACTTTCCACCTCTCCCAAGTGTCTGCGGAGCTACCTGCGAACAGGCCCCAGGTTGGACTGGAGAGTGCCCAGCTCAGCTTAGGTTTCAGTCTAGAGACTGCCCACACACATCCCTCCACTCCTCCACCTCTGCCCTTCACCATATTGGCACCAGAGAAGGATGAGGATGGAGCCCCAGACTGCAAGTCTCTCTAGAGCTTCCCTGAGAGGCTGTGTAAAGGCCACACTAAAATCTATTGTCCTACTGCCCTTCAAATTCCAGCCAATGACAGTCAATCTTCTAACCTTAACACCGCTTAGAAACTTCTGGCTGATATGTTCGTAGAACCACCATGTCCGTATTAGCACTATTAAAAGCTAGCAACTCTCCAGCAAACAGAAGCTAACATGCCCTGGCGCAGAGGCGGTGTCCTTAAGCTTTCTGTTCCTTTCCTTCCATCCACAAGTATGTGCTGTGCACTTGTTATGGGCCAAGGCCCCAGCTGGATGCTGGGGGGTGCTGAAAGACAGAACACTGAGCTCCATGGAGTTAACAGTCTAGCAAAGAGACTGCCAAGAAATCCACCCACAGCACACAGAACTGAAGCGCAGGGAGAGGGAAGCCCGGGGAGTGGAGGACACAGTCCCCCAGGAGGTCATGTGTATGATGGACAGGATGGTCAGGAAGGACCCGTGGGCACAGCTGGGAAGCTCAGACTCCACCAGGTGCTGGGAGGTTCACGCAGGGAGCAGCGCGGTGAGATGTGAGCCACAGCAGGATCACGCTGGCAGAAGAGGAAAGGGGGCCGAGGGGAGACAGGGAGACCAAGGAAGACAGTTAGAGTGACCAGGAGAAAGATAATGGCGACCTCTTTGAGGACAATGGCCCCGGGGCTGGGGATAAATGCTGCTACAACGGTATTTAGTAGGTTACAGTTAATTACAGTGTCCAGTTGTTGAGTGACAGCTGTGTACTAGTTATTTGCTCTCTGTGCTTTATCCACTATCTCCATCTTTTCCCAAGTCCTTGCAGGGAGGTTCTCAGTTATGTCCAGGCTGAAAGCAGATGGCACCCTCAAACTGGGTGCAGTGCAAAGAACTGACTCAAAGGACAGAAAAGGACTCAAAGGCTCCAGAAAAATCTACAAGAGTGTATTGCACCCCAGAGGTCAGAATGGTGGGGGGCCATTCCCCACCATGAGGTCACAGAGGGGATTAGGAGGGGGCGGCTCTTGGAACCCAGAGAGAGGGGGGCTGTGCTGTGCCATAGTGGAGGTGCTATGCTTCAGTTGAGGGGTGCTGTGACCCCTGATAACGCTGCAGAGAATGCCAGAAGAGGAGCAACACTGCCCAGAGCCGGCATGCTGTCAGCTTGGCATGAGAGTTGGCAGCAAATATGGGGTGATGTGCGGGGAAAGGAGCAGAGAGCAGGCATTTGTGAGGGAAGGCGCCTGGCACACCCACAGGCCTGCCCTGGTTTCGTTATTTCTTAAACAGAGGGCTGACCAGGCACATGACACGGCCTTCGCGTGACCCCCACCAGGCGTCCCCTCTCCTGATTCCTCAGGGAAGTCCTCCACAGGGAGGGCATTCGAAGGAGCAGCAGCCGTCTGAGGAGAGTGCGGGGTGGGTTGTGGAATCATGCAGGACTCAGTTGGGCAGCCACAAAATTGCAAAATTTTCTATATTCAGATGTGCTAAATGACCAGCCTTTATTTTCTATAATTCATCTTCCTCTTGAGCTTGACTTCCCACAGCTGACTGGACAAGGAGTAGGGGAGATGCTATAACTTACCAATTACTGCTAGCTCAGTCTTCTCCAGTTTAAAACAAGTTTCTTTTAGGGTTAACTCAACACCTTTGCAAAAGTACCCAGCCTTCCAAAACTCAAGCTACTGGGACTCTCCTCTTGCAATAAATCTTCATTCTACTTCCTTCTACCTATAGGGGCAGCCAACTGCTGGGACAACCGGGGCCTCTGAGCAGCAAGGGGCCAGGGGCCAGGCCCATGTGCTCCCTGGTCTCAGCGCAGCTCAACCAGCCCATGGAAATCTCAGCCCTTGGGCCCCGTCCTGGCCAGTGTAAGCTAGGGTATGCCATGACAACAAACATGCCCCACATCTCAGGATGTGCCGTCAGGATGTGCAACACGGTTTACTTCTGCTCATGTGATGGACTTCTCACACGTTTGTCACAGATCAGCCTGCTGTGCCCCCATGGAACAGGACTGATGACAACTGCCGGGACAGAGCAAGGGCAGGTTTCACTTCTGAAGTGATGTGCTCTGTCCTGGAAATGGGACCCATCGCTTCTGCTCTTGCCTCTCTGGCCAGAACCACACATGTGACACACCAGGGAGTTGATGTTCAGTCTTGCCCCATTCCAGAAGGGGCAAGAAACCAAGATGCTTGACCAACAACTCACCAGATTCCATCTCTGCAGCCTGTAGTACCCCACGAGCTCCAGATGCAGGTGCAAGGGTCATAGATATCCCCAGCATCCCGGCCCCCTCAGGATAGTGTGGGGGATCCCCACACTGAGGCTGCCCTCAGGCTGTTACCTAAATGCCTTTATCTGACATTTTTAGGCTGCTGCCTGGGGCGACCATTCTACTTTGGCCCTTGGGGAACTGGGCACCTCACTAAGGAGCTGGCCTTATTCCCAGTGTAGGCCCTAAGACGAGAGGAAACTATCCTCTTCATTGGGAGGCCCCCAAAGTGCTCCAGGTGGCCAGCTCCACTTCCCCTGTGCTTCTATGCTGGGGAGCCTCTGGGGCTGCAATAGCTGACCTGCTGCTTTGCTTCCTATTTACCATTCCAGTGACTTCAGCCCCTCTCCTTTTTCCTTGCCAGGGGAATTCCTTCATATAATAGAGTCCACCCTCCTTATGCTGTGCCTCAGAATGAAACTCCAAGTCCAAGCCCAGCAGATGTGACTCAGCTGTATAAATGGGGCTTTAAGAATGCAAGGAATCTTCTCTCTAGTCATGTCTGGCTCACGACATGTCTATTTCACCACAGAGTACTATTTAGGAAGTCTGCACATGGGCTCACTCTCTCTTTGGATTCCTGCTTTAGCAGCCTAAATCTCGCCACAACAGTGGGTGCCTCTTAGCAGGCTAAGTGCTAGGCAGTGAAGTAAGGGTGTTGGGGTGTATGTGTATGTGTTGGGGGGGGTATCTCAAGAAACTGAAGAAAGCTATGTGATTTCATTTTGAAAAAAATATCACTCCTCTGGCCCTCCCTGGTGGCTCAGTGGGTTAAAGCACAGCACTAGGAAGCTAAAGCCACTTCCGCATGAGTTCGATCCCCACCTGCCACCTGCCCCAGAGGTGACCCACATGGCGTGGCAGACCTCACCTGACCCGCCCGCTGCTCCCCTTCGCAGTGTACTTCATCATTTGGCCTGTTCTGCTCCCCACTGTCTCTGGTGAATTCTCTCACCGCCCCTGCACCTCTGGTCTGTACCCCAGTTCTGTATGCATAAATAATTTTAAAAAATCACTCCTCTAATCTTGGCTTAAATTCTAGCAGCAGAATGGCCTTGAGTGAGTCAACTAACCCAGGCACCCAGGCCCAGGCAGGCACCCACCACATAGACATTAACCCTGGGAGTGTCCCTGCAGACTGTTCTCTGGCTAACTCTGCTGGTTTTTCTACTTCTAGTCATGTGGTCTCAGGCATTCTGATTGACTTTGTCCAGGCTCATCTTCTTCATCTATCTGTTGAGGGCAGTCATGGTTTTATCTCCTAAGATTGCTGTATTAAGTCACACAAAGCCGCTTAGGCATGCCTGATGCAGGCTAAGTGCTAGGCAGTGCTTGTTCCTGTCACCTTTGGCACTTTTTCCCCTTCTCTGAGAAGTCTTTGCTCCCGAAGGCTTTCAGCCCCAGAATCTGACCGGCGTGGAGTCAGCTCCTGCACCGTCCCAAGCTGACTGTCTCTAAGCCACCCAGGCTTTAGGAGTAGGGCCCTACACCCAGAGTCATGATGCTGGGGGTGCTCTGCCCAAGCCCCCTCATGTCCTCTTTACCACTTCTGTGAACTCCCCTCTAGCTCTGGTGAGCATGTCCCTCTGTGCACCTCATGCAACACTCCCCGAGTGGCTTCCTCAGAAACGCTGAGCCAGCCGTGTGGAGCTGAGTCCCGGCTGTTCATCAGGATTCTCCAGAGAAACTCAACCAATAGCAGATAGACATATCTACACATCATACACGCATAATTTAAGAGGAGATTCATTCTAGGAATAGACTCATCTGGTCATGGAGCCAAACATTCTCTTACCTGTCGCCTGCAAACCGGAGAACCAGGAAGCTGGTGGTATAACTCCGTCTGAATCCAAAGGCCTGAGAGGCAGGGGGGCTGGCAGTGTACTAACTCCCCGCCTGAGTCCACAAGTAGAGAACCAGCACCAGTGTCTGGGGACAGGAGAAGATGGATGTCTCAGTGCAAGAGAGCAAATTTGTCTTTGTTCCAAAATTTTGTTCTATTTAACCCTCAACAGATTGGATCTTCACCCAGTTCAAAAGTGAGTCCGAATCTTTTTCTGAAAACTCCCCCACAAACACGCCAGAAATATGTTTGACAAGCTATCTGGACATCCTTTAGCCCAATCAAGTGGACATATGAAATTAACCATCCCATCCTGTGGTCCCTTCCTACCACAGGGACAGAGCATGGAAGCCCAGCTCCCTTGACCTGGCTCAGGCAAGTAGGAATCGGCACTGTGCTCCAGAGTGCCCCCTGCAGGAATGGAGTGAGACCTGCTCTCAGGGAACTGAAACTGTCCACGCCTCCCCCACCCACCCCAACCTGGTTTGCTCCTTCTCCTTCTCTGCTCCTTATAGGCTTCTCCTGGGAGCACCTTAATGAGCCCTGGCACAAGCAACCCGATCTGGCCCCAGAGAGTGTGAGCATGCCCAGGAGAGGCTGACAATATCAGTTATTTTTTTTGAGCACCTGTAGTGTGTTCTGCACTTCACCGGCCTTGTCTCATTTAAGCCTCGGAGCAGGACTGCTGGGCAGGGCATATTATTATTCCCATTTTAAAATGGAGACAGAAGCTTAGAGCAGTCAGGCGGCCTGGCAAAGGCTATCTAGCTGGCAGGTGGTAAAGCAGGATTTGACACCCTGACCAGGGGAGTCTGCAGTGTGAGATCCCACCACGCCCACTCTCCCCAGGCTGCACCATAGGTGAACAGGGCCCAGATTTCCATAGTAGGAGGCAAAGTGAGGAAGAGCAAGACTCATTTTGGAGAAATTATTGAAAAATAAAACAAAAAGGGCTCAAAGTGGAGGTATGGGTAGAGAGGCAGACCTCAGCCAGCTCCTGGGACTGGGAATGGACCCTGAGGCCTGTGGCACTCAAGAAGAGGGTCAGGCTACCCACTGCTACCTCTCCCACCCCACACTCACACACCCAGAGCAGGAAGGATCTACTCAGAGGGGTCCTGTGTGCCGCCTGGAGAAAAAACCTCCAAAGGACAAGCTTGTGATTGAAATGAGGCAGGACTCACCCTGGTGAGGGACCCTGACAGGTGGGTCAGGAAGAGGGAGTGAAGACCAGAGAGGCCCCCTGCAGGGGCCAGTCACAGAGCAGCTCTACTTAAGTCCTGGAGGCTGAGGGGGTGTTGGACGTCAAGTGCGGCCGGCACAGTCCTTAAAGTTCCCCTCCCTGGGATCTGGAGTCAAACTTCCACCCTGGCGGGTACAGGGTTTGCAGTGGGGGCAGGAGGTCGTGGGCAGGCAGGGGAGAAGGAAGAGAGGCCCAAGGGTCTCTGTCCTTCGGAGATATCCCACACTGTCCACACTGGCAGCAACATCAGTGACCGGAGACTGGCGTTTCAGAGCTTCTCAGTGGGTCACGAGCCCCTGGACACCCCTTGTCTCAGAAAGTGGTTGGGACACCGGGAAAATGGAGACAGCCCTGGGACTAGGATGCGAAAAAATTCACTGGGTTGAAAACTAGAGAAGGATACCCCTGAAGGGGCCTGAGGGGGGCTGAACCCCAGGGATGAGATGTATGGTCATCTCTACTCTCTGGGTCCCCAGGGAGAGTGATAGTTAAACAAGGAGTCTCCCCCCAATACACACCCTAATGCAACCCCCAAAAGTACCCTTATGCATAACAGAATACCTTTCCACCCAAATCAAATGCCAGTTGTATTCCCTACTCCTGATCCCTCTCCTAAACTCACAGGGAAGCCTCACTTGACCTGAATCCACTCTTACCTCTCACTGACCACAGACCAAACCATAAATAAGCCTCACCCTGCCCTAAACTTAATGCCTCCAAGACCCTGAGACCTCAGTTCTGACTCAGCTCCACTTTCGCCTTGGCCTCCTGAGGCCCAGCCACCTGGGCACCTGCCCAGAGAGCCACAGGGGACCCCATTGAGCACCCCCAGTGCTGTGGGTAGTGGATGAATGCTGGTGCTATCCGTAGCCAGGGAGGGATGTATCAATTCCCGTGCCTGTCACATCACCATAATTTCTAAGTCACAGCAAGCTGATTCCTTCTCTCAATACCATTTGACTCCATCCCTGCCCTGGAGGGCTTCCTTGGGCAGGACCCAGAGGGGTGGCCAGGGAGTGTGATCATCTTCCAGACACTGACAGGCACACTGCTTGCAATCATACCTTCTACCGGCTGCCTAGACAGCTGCCTCGCCGGGCCCATGCGCCCCTGGCTCAGTCCTCCCAGCTGGCCTGAAGCCTCGATGCCACCGTGGACCCCTCCAGCACCTTGTAGCCTGAAGGAGGCATCAGTGAGGCAAATATCTCTAGGTATTTGATGCCAAGCTGTGCCTCCCATCTGGACCATGACAGAAATCCTAAAATGCTGAGTCACTCAGGGGCGGAGGACAGGGCCCTGCCAGCCCAGGCAGGCAGGCTGTCAGAAGGCCTGCTGTGGCGGCCCTCCCCTCCTCTCTGCCACCTGCAACTGTCTCAGCAGACTGAGGTGCCCGTCCTGGTCACAGAATGAAACATCCCTGGGCAAAACCTGCTGATAGTGGCTGCAGACACCAAGGCTGAGCTGGGTGCTGGTTTCGGGGCTAGTGGCTCAGGAATCAGCCTGCAGGCCACAGGGAGGAGGGGTGCCTTGGCAGGACATCCCCCCTCCAGAACTGAATTTTGGGAGGCATAGCCCCCCCACTCACCCCAAGACTGATGTCAACCATGGACATAGCACACAGGCCTCAGCCCTGGGACTCACGGAGAACCCTGCCATGTGGAGGAGGACTTCCAGACCTGGGACCTCAGTTTCGGGGTTGCTGGACAGGCATGGGGCAGGCCGGTAGGTGTTAGAGTCCCTCTGTCACTTCCTTCTGCAGCCTCCAGCTTCCGTCTGGGCCTAGGCCAAGGAAGACCAGGTGCTGCTGCCTTGCAGAAGGGGAGAAAGCTGGGAACTGATGAAAGGTTTTATCTCCATGTAAGAAACAACTTTCTAGCCATCACAGCATCCAATTTAAAAGCAAATCTAAAAGGAAGACATCGTGTCAACTCTGTTGGCTTTGAAATCTGCCTGTAAAGCCTCCTTGGTAATTAAGTAGAATGACTCCATTTTGCCATATAAGTATGGTTATCGCTCCTGGGTGGCTGCAATTAATATAAAAGCAGCTTAAAGGAGCCATTGTCAAGGCATAATGAGTTTTTAAATATTAATTAATACGTTAATAACCATTCTAGGTTAAGGGTGAGGCTGTGGTGCTATCAGAAATGATTTTTGCTGGGAACCCAGGAATGCCTCTACCAATGCTGGTGGGGGTCCTGGGGGAGCAAGACAATGGAAACCAGAGCTCTGCTTTATGAATCGCTGTGGGAGGCCTAATGCCCCGGGCAGAGCTCTGACTGACTGGACTGAGCTCTTGATATCCAGTCTTCAGGGCACCTGTCACTTTCTCAAGTCTGAAGATGTGGCCTCAGCAGCTCAGGAAGGCCTGAGGAAAGAGAACCCCCAGGAGAAGCTCTGACCACTTCTCCCAGGACATGGAGCCATAAGGGGTGAGCAGAAGATAAGTGGGCACAGGACTTGGGAAACACCAAAAACCCAAGTTGGGATCCCCTAAGGCCGTGACCATGGACCAGCCAGTGTCTTGGTTCTGAGCCAGTAGGCTGCTAAAGCCAACCTTGGGCAGGACTAGGGAGGGCAGTGGCCAGGGGCAGTCTGGCATGGGAAGGGGAGGTTGGGGGCAGCATTTCTTTTCCCTACAGTCACGCAGATTTTGTTCACTTAACTTTCTGGTCTGCATAATATGGGCATGCCTCCTTCCAGTGGGGGGCGATCAGCAGCTCCTAGATTTAGTCTGGGCCTCTAGAACCATGGCCCCCAGAAGCCACTGAGCAGGTTAGTTGGTGGCTGCAAGGCCCCCTACACAGGGGGGTTAGAGACTTTCCTCCCCTTTGTTCTCCTATCTTAGGTTATAACCAGCCCCACTGTTCCAGCTAGCTCCGCCCCGGTGCAGGAAGAAGGCTCCAGAGAAGCCTAAGAGCAATGCAGCCCCAACCGTCCATCTGAATGTCTAATCCTTCTCTCGTCATTGCATTCTTTCAGAGAAATTAATGCCCCAAATGAAATCCTTTTGCAAACTTCTCCCTTTTCTGTTGTTTCTCAGTTGCTTCAAATAGAGGGGACTCCCTCAGGGACTGGGGGGCAGGGAGCATCCTTTCCCAGAGCTGCCTGGATGGAATTCCTCCAAAGCTGTGCAGACCTAATTTGACCTCTCTGGTTTGTGCCATTTCCCATAAACTCCAAATAAAACATCAGCAACAGCCCCAAGTCCAAGCCATTTGCAATCAAATGTGAGCACTTTAAATACTATTCCCCAAGCCAAGTGAGGGCTGAGTTCCTGGTGAAGGCTAACATTTCTGGTGGTGGCCACGGCTGAAGCCAGGTCCCTAGAGCCCTGGGGTGGGCACCCAGAGGATTAGAGGCAGGTTTCAACTCGACCTCTGACACTCTGCTGCCTGAGCCAAATAGCCCTTTGCTGTGGGCCTGAGCTTCCCCTTCTGCAGACTGGAAAAGACAGTCCTGCCCACTTGCTTCCCAAAGTTGTGGGGACAAACCCCTAGAAAGCATTTGATAACCTGCTGAAATGACAAAATAAAATGCGAGTTAACCACCACTACCACCACCACCCCCTCAAGGTGGCATCCAGGAGAAAGAGCCCAGCAGTTCAGCCTGAGCCTCTCTGTTCTCCATCCCCACCTCCCACTCACCCTCAGGCCTTATCTCCCTCCCTAATCTTTATTTTTTAAAAAATATTTATTCATTTATGCATATAAGAACTGGGGTACAAACCAG